TTCTGAGAAAGTATCGCTGTTATTTATGTCTACTAGGTTGACGATTCTTAGTTTCCTAACCAAAATTGCTTCTTCGTGTGTGAGATTTTCTCTAAAATGATTTCTATTTAATTTCTCACCAGACTCCAATCTTGCTATGTCATTATCAAATATTCTCATATCAAGAAAATTACCATTCGTCGACCAGAAAACGTTACAAAATGTCCTAACGCAAACTGATAATTCTCCACAAGGAGTGTTCGAGATATCTGATAATTGATGTATAAACGATACGAAGTGTATCAAAAAGAGATTGGAAGTCTACTGAGCTTTCCAAAATCTTTGTATCTTTAAAATTGGCGGAGATTTTAACCATTTAAAGAGTTTTGTTGATTTTGAATAAACCTAAATCTGGACAAATTTTCTAATATCTCAGAAAATTTTGATGGTAAATGGTAAATGTTCTAACTATGATACTACAAATTTTAGTTATCATAATAATCCCACATGGAATGAAGATGATAGAGGTCGTCATTTGATTCCCATGCTTATTGGTACAACCTGCATGTAGAAAGGGGAGGAAGGCCAGCCACAACAATTTCTAGACCAAGCCACATTCTCCTCATTTTTTCTCCTGAGCCACCTCAAAATCTTACTCCTTGTTATTTTTAAAAGTGTCTCATCCTCCAAGTTTTTAAAAGAATTTGGCCACATTAGGGCATAAATAAAATATTGAATTTTAGAACACCTGAAAAGTAGTTTCAACAGAATTTAAGATTTCAAAGTTCAAAGTCCTAAATAATGTTTACCTATTTTATGAGCATATTTAGATATTCCTGGTGTAGAATGCGGCAAATAGTTTTGAGAATATACAATCTCAATCTTTTTTGTTAATTATAGTGAAAACCATCAAAATCAAAAATCAAATGATAGGCCAGAGATATGCCGGATACTTAGATATTTAATTTATATCACGAAAGTTAGCCATTGTGGAGGCTAAAGATATTTAAGCTTTACTTAAGTAAAGTTTGAAACCATTCTCATGGCCTTAAAGCTTCCAACATGATGTGATCATTGCAATACTTCAGTATATCTAAATTTTATGACCTAATGAACCCCCTCCACTTTAGTCCGCCCTTGCTTTCACGTTTTAAACTTAATTTCAAGTGTCCATTTAACAACTTTAACTTTCATTCTTGACAGAGATAATTTCCTGTGGAATATATTGTTTAAAGATAATCCAGATGCCGAAGCTTTTACAAAGAAATTTTAAAATTTCAGGTTGAAAACAGATGCTTTCATATAGTTGCTTTAAAGTACTAAGTAACTAGCAAAGCCTGGTGCAATTGATGCAAACCCTTATGTGTTTGCTAATCCAAACGTCTTTGATCAACATTAGATTTAAGCAGCACAAACAAGAAATACCAATGTTAAACAGGATTAAATCGCTAATTTTTCTGGAGGTTTTGGTAATAATATTTGAGTATCTATCAAAATAAATATTTAAAGCGATTTTCTCAGAAACAGAAGATACTTATGTGAATTGCTTGGTTTCAGTCACTGACTTTAAAGATGCAGACCTTTTAAAGGATTGTGGAAATGATGTCAATAATGCAAGAGGGTTGATAGTCCTAAGCTTGAATTCTCAAGAAGAAATCACTTCTTAGGATTGTATAGCATATATTAAATAATCCCCTGAGATGTACACTAAAGAACATCATATCTTATGATGTACACTTATATTATGCAGAGTGATAATATTTTAGGGGGTATTTTGTGGAATAATAAATTTTCATACTTTTTTTAAAATTTAAATATAGTTTAATCTTAAATCATGAAACCTGCATCTATGTTAGTTGTCTACGTAAATATATCAATGTGTAATATTGCATTCCATCTTAAATTTTATCCCCTAAATATACAATGAATGTACTGTAAATTATATAATCATATATCTATGCTCTCAACATTATATTTGTTTAGCTTTGATATATTCATAAAAGAAGACATTACTGTTTGTCTGTCTTACAATACAAAGCAGGTAGTTTCCATTTAAACTCCGCACCTTTCACAGGTGTGGAGATGTTTTCCAAGATGAATTTATCAATATAAAGAGATTCCTGATTTTTGGATTGGGTTATAGAACAGTTCTGGCCTTCGCTTACCTTCCTGGTGCCCTTGGGGTATCATCATCAGATTCTGTGAGTCTTTGGATGCATGAACCAGTAGAGCTGGAGGCTCACTCAAATCCAACAGATGTTGATTCCTAAGTCCTACTTGCCGACAGCCAAGGCCCATCTCCCAAGCTTTAAGGAGCATTTACTCGAGATTAGAATCCTGCATCTGTTATAGCTTGTCTGCCTAGGAGGCCATTGCATACTTTGAAGTTGAGCAATGGAACGGGTGGATAAGAAGCCCTGTTACTTTGGCGCTACGCTCATTGAAGTGGCATACATCTGAGGAGGCCCTGAGGTTAAGAAGTGGGTCAGCGAGAATAACCCATGCCCATCTCTCTTTACCGGATGGGGTGAGGACACAGAGGCAGTAAGAGCACCTAAATCGAGGAGGGATCTAGATGGAGATGTCGAAGACCCCCGACGAGATGTCACCGCTATACATCTCGAGCAGAAAACTCTATAATGCCGTAGTAAGGCATGTTGACATCCCGAACTAGAACGATATGATAAGGAAGATCAAGCTAAATGCAAAAATCATGGCTCAGGCACCCACATGGACCACTGGGAGCACTGCAATGGGTCACTTCCTGTCACGCATAATCCTAGACAGAGATAAATTTCAAATTTAACTGAGTTCCAGAATTGTAGACAACTTTCTCCAGTTGATTGGGATCGTCAATTTTGTATCATGGAATTGGACCTTGCGTGCAAAAGTGGTCAAAAGTGCCCTTGGCGATCTGACGCCTGGAGCAGAGAGAGCAATCCTTGCGTATCAGTTAGTAGAGTTCTGGTTTAAAGCCACAAAGGATGGAAGATTCAATGCACTTCTGGGGGAAATGGAGCAATCAGGGGATACGGACTTCTCTCAAATTGACATTGATGACCATTCACTCCTGGATCTCGGGTACATTCCTGGGAGAAAACTTTCAACCAGGCCTGTGAGATGTTAGAAATTCTGCTCTAAACTCTATAATGTAGTATGTGTTGGGTCTGCAAGGTATGGGTACTATCTTGGGAGGGATCACGTGATAAACTTGATCAACTGCCTGAAGTCTATTGCTAATGTGAGGTCATTTATGAAAGTGTACAGATCCACAGGCATCAATGGTGATAAACTGTTAAACATCAGTCATGCAGTGGGGAAGGTTGAAAGGTATAAGGGAGAGCGGATACGAGCAGCATACCCGGATGAAGATGTGAAGCTGCCAAAGTCATTGAAACAATCTTAGCCGTGCTAGAGAATGTCTACAACTTGAATGCTATTCCTGCAGGCATGGGTACAGGTGAAGACTATAGGAGGGTCAAGCTGCTGGAGGGCCTTGAAGAAGTTTGTAAAGATGCAAGGGGGCTGGTCAAGCTGTTCAAGGACCTTGGATCATATGACGGAATAGTCCTGGACCTGTGTTACCTGTTCCATTACCTACCAACCCCGGACAGGAACATAATCACAACACTAAAAGTCACGAGGAACAAGATGACTGAAGATAGAGTATTCAACCCAAGGGCAACTAAGGGGTTCCTTGGGAGAAATATGACCTTCTTGTAACTGCCTCTAAGGAGAAGGCGATTCCTAACTATGAGTGTGAGGAGGGCAGAGAGAGTGAAGTGCGGACAGCGAGAGACTACGCACACATGTGACCTTAACTATGATTAAAAAAAAAAGTTCCAGTTTAAGTTACTGAATATTTTTTGTCATATACATCAAGAGATGAAATCCTGCAAGTTTCAAAATTTGGGCCGTAGGTCCTGAGATTTTAAGCCAATTTTTATATTTTTACTGTTTTACGCCGTCATATGTATTTTTTAAACGATCATCTCAAATGCTTTTAAAATTGTTCCAGTCCTTTTCTGGACCCTTAAAACATATGTCTAGACCGGAGAAAGGTTAGAGTATAGAATGCTGATGGACAGTTTGTACAGGGGAATTGTACAGAACCCTTATAATTGAACATAAAGGTTAACATGTACATTTTAAGAAGAGGGGGATTTTTGTAGACGTCCTTTTAAGCATGAATATAAATGCAGAAACCAATTAATGTACATTTTTCAAGTCGTTTTTCTAACTCCTTGTGCAAAGTTCAACTATCCAAAAAATATTTAGCATATTTAGCAATATGAAAAACATGACGCAAAACATCCAAAATGGCTCTTTTGATATAAAACGGGTTCGAATTACTGAGAATTATTAACGCAGTCAAGCGTGCGAGTCCTCCCTCCATTTCATCCTACAAGAGGGGGGCACATGGTTCGGCCCTAACTAGTATGCTAAAAATGTTGTTGATGTATTTTATTTTAAATTTCTTAACCTTATATTGGTTTTTCGACATATGCCAAAATAATGATTTTGTCAAAAAGTCAATTAGTAATTATATGTTAAATCTCATAGCATAAGTTGGAAGAATTTAAATTGTAATTTTTGGACTAAAAAAGCATGGTTCCCAGCAAGATACGTCACTATCTCTGTTAAAGTTGAACACTTTTGAATTGGCGAAATAAGTTCAAATCTGTCTTAAATACAATCTTATTCAAACAAATCCCGAAAATTCACAAAAGATATATGAGTAATTTTGCAGTTTAAATTTAAATCAGAGATCTGAGAGGAAGGTTTTAACTTATTTTGTTGATTCAAAAGTTCTCAGATGTTGTCTCACAACAAAACAAATAATGACGTCACTCTTTTTGATTTTTTTGTTCTCTCATGAATAAAATTTACATGGTTTCATAAAGAAATGTATTAAAAAATCTATTAAACAAAATAATGATCACCATGAACAAACTTATTGGTTGGCAAAAAAAACAAGTTTGTTTAACTTTTTTCTAATTTTTGACTTTTTTGAATCAAAGTTCTTCTTGGCAAGATGTTTCAGCCGTAGGACTGTGTACAGTAGTGCAGTTTCTCTAAGCAAGGAATATTTATGTAGTTCTCCATGATCAGCCTTCTTAAAGATGTCAGGGTGTTCTGTCATTCAGATTAGACACAGTTTTGAGACAGATTCGGTTTAATATCTGTCTGGCACAAAATAATTTGTCTTTCATCTTTGCATCTTGGATTTTGGATTCCGGTATCTCTGCAACTAATTAGTTCTAATGTAATTTTTTAAACTTATAATTGCTCTGTAAATTCTGGCGAGGCATCTAAATTTTCACACCACTTCCTCAATGTGCTTTCGTGTGGTAAAGTGTTGTAAAACACTTTTCGTAAATATCTTAACATAAACACATATCAATACTCAAAGTACACAAAAAATCTTAGATTACACTGTTTTCAACTCTATAAAAAGCCCTTGAAAAAAGAATGTAGAAACATGTGATATCAGCAATTTTTAGGACCCCCCCCCCATGCTTTACTTACATAGATTAAATGCCATATGGTTAAACGCTTAATACCTGTAAGCGCATGCAGAATAAGAATGCGGATTAAGTGCAAAACTACGCAGGGTTTCAGGATTCTCTGCTCTCATCTTTGAGTCCTTGACTTTGACAGCAGTTTGTTGAAAGAAGCTTGATGGAATATCTAAGGCAGATTTTGCAGACAAGATATGTGTTCAGCAGATACCTGGAACTTTTCTTTAAGCTCTGCAATCGTACTCTGCAAGTCAGAAACCCTGACCCCCAGGGTTTTACATCTTTCATCTGCTTTATAAAACTGTTTTTGATACTTCACGCCTTGCTCAGTTGCATCATCAAGCCTGAACATACATTATAAACTTTAATTATTGTCGAGACTTCTTCTTATGAATAACTTGAATTTTACTCCTAAAAGTTATCGATCTAATTTTTTTTCATGAGCTGGTCTTGAAAATTGTGCTATGAACATGCGTTTAAGCCCTAATGATATTCTCTCCGGCTTTTTTTCCCCCCCCATCCTATACATAGATTCAGACCCCCCAACCTTTAAAGGACTTTTCAAGGAGGCTGGGACATCAAGGCCAGCCCCCACCTCCCTTAAAATTTACTATTTTATCTCTTCAACCTTAAAACCAAAAGTACATTTTGGATATTTTGTAAAAGGCCAAAAGGATAACTCAGCGTATAGCCATTAGGGGGGGCGTAACCCCCCCCCCTCCAACCTTAAGGACTAATTGTAATCAGATTGCAGACCATTTTTATCAAATTATGCTTATTGAGAATACAAGTATTAATTTTTCTTTGAAATCTGGTATATGTCAACATTTTATTACCTTCTCTTTAACACTTTATTATCAGGGAATGCATAGTTATGTTCTGCCAGGATCTGTGTTGGCAAAAACACTGTGGGTTTAGCGTATTTTTTAAATTTCTTCTTTGATTTGCTGTAAGAGTTTTGAGTAAAATGACGAGAGCAGATAAAAGTTGGAATATTTTTCCAACAGCTCAAAGATTTCCATTCTTCACGAACAGTATATGGATTCTCATATCAACATGAGAACCATTTGTGGTACAGTTAACCACAGAACAGTATCGCATGATGCTCAAAATTTACTGTCTACTGTTTACATACCCCAGAGCTGTGTACACTGTATATAAACAGATGCCGCAACCCGTATTTTCCTTTGTACTGTATGTCACTACATGATCTATACCTAACACCGATTCCCTTCTGTCCCTCATCTCTGTCCTTATTACAAAGACGACAGATTACACCCCTTGGTCTAGACCTTTGAAAAGTCAAAATCGGGTTAGAAACAAGGCATTTAGACCCCTAAATGTTAAATCTTTGCTCTCCTCACAATTTAAAACATAAGTAACAAAAATATGTTTATTTGTTCCTGGAATTGTAAACAAGAACACACTTAAGGAGATTGTTAGAATACTCCTTGTTGATCATCTCCCTCTTGTAACCTGCTCCAGTCCAAAGCTTGGTAAAGTCTTTGTGTACGGCCTCTGAGGCCTGTTCAGAGTGATGGCCTAATCCTAGTCCATCATTTTGACGCACAAAGAGGACAGCATGGACTTTGGGGCTGACACTGATTCCCAAGAGTTTGTAGGATGCCTCAAACTCTTTGATTGCCACTCTGTAGTCAGACTTCACTTCCTTTTCAAAGCACATGTCTTTGATGGTCTTGAAGTCTTTGAGAACTTTGACAACCTGTTGAACTTCATTGTTTTCTTTAGGTGCTATCTTCTCCAACTTATCAACAGAGTTCAGCAAGATTTTGCAAGAGTTGCCATTGAATTCTCCTCCATGAAATTTGGGTCTCACAAGTGCACACTCTGTTGACCAGTCTTTTGCAGTGATGGTATTCCCTGGAATCTGAATTAAAATATCATTTAGATGATTAAATAGTCTGTTTATAATTCCAAGTAGCAGATGGAGCTCCATTAGTGGCAAAACATCAATAATGACAGCTGAATCCTCATGGGCCACAAGTGGATCATGCTGACAGCCCTTGTATGGAGCTGCTGATAACTTCGTTTTTTGCTTGTGCTTCTTGGCAGCTTCTTGATACTCTGCAGCAGAGTTCTTGCTAGATCCAACAGTTCTAAGTTTCCTGGCTTCATTCCTATCATTGTCTAGAAAATTGAATTTGTTCAGGTCACACCATACACAAGGGAATGTTGCTGATGCTCCTGAGAGCCCAAACATAACCAATGAAAGCTTCATGTCTAGGGCGCTGATGAAACTTATCTGGTCCAAATCCATAATAGCCAGAATTGTGAGGAGATCAAAGATTTAGCATTTAGGGGTCTAAATGTCTTGTTTCTAACCCGATCTTGACTTTTCGAAGGTCTAGATATATGTTTTAAGGGTCCAGAAAAGGACTGAAACAATTTTTAAAGCATTTGAGATGATCGTTTAAAAAATACATATGACAGGGTATAACAGTTTAAGCAAAAAATATAAAAATAGGCTTAAAATCTTAGGACGTACGGCTAGGATTTTGAAACTTGCAGGATTTCATCTCTGGATGTATATGAACAAAAAATATTTAGTAACTTAGGCTGGAACTTTTTTTACCCCTGAGAGCCTCTGGGGTGCTGCAAGGCTTGTCAAGCATTTCCCATATGTCCATACAGCAAACAATGCATTCGTACAGGCAAAAGACGTTACCAGGGTTCCCCCCTCAACTATCGAGCATTTCAACCCTGGACGAACGAACTTTAAGAGGAACGTATCATCAAATGAGCTCCTACACAGCTTGTTTAACGGAGACAACTGCGGGGGTGGAATGACAATGGAAGAGTACAAGAAGGAATTTGCTGAAGGTCGTATTACGAGGGACAACATTGCTGATATGGCTACTAAGGCGGAGAGTACGAAAGATGCTGAAACATCTCGGGAGACTTCATCTCTAAATGAGCCCAACAGAAGGATGATGAGCGAGATGGACTCCAGTGGGCCATTGTTAACCAATTACCTTGGCAATGTGGCAATGGGTGCAAGCAAAGCAGATATGGATCTGGCATTCAGAACATTCCTCTCAAAGTCTTCAGAATTGGGTTCCTGCCTGTTCATCAGTATAGACGTGAAGGGATGGAGACCGGGGGACTCGAGGAAGTTCTTCCTTTTGCACCATGACACTGTCATGGGTTATACTCAAGGCGATCACAACATATCGTTTGAGAAGGTATGGGAGGGGCTGAGATATGTCTACAGGAGAGATGGGTTGAGCATTGATATGGAGATAGATGAAGGAATGGTGCAGGGCTGGACAGGAAGGTATGATTGTATTCTTCACAGCCACATCTTGCTGTATGTTACTGCAAAGCTCAGGAAGAAGGGGAAAGTCATGATCGACGATGCACTGTTTTGCTTCTTCTTCGCGAAGAAAGCTACTCAAAAGGAGAAGGAGATGAAGTGCAGGTGCATAGAAGAAGCAATAACGGAAGCATATGCAGAACTAGGATTGATAATTGCCAAAGACAAGACAATCATCTCTACCCGTAACTTCACATTTCTGAACAGGTTCTTCTCCCAGGGAGCAGAGGTGGTTAAGCCGCTGAGGACAATGATGAAGATATGTACGTCTACAGACAGGATGGTCGTTACCTCTCAAGTCCAAATCCAGGATCAATCTGGAACACATAATAAACTGTTTGCTAACATCAAAGACTAATTGGATTTTACTTCATTTTTATTCTTTATTTTGGATGTTTGTTATTTATAAAAATTGTTAAATATTAGAATAATTGTGTCTAAATAATTTCTTATTGTCCTTTATTTCAGGAAACTGCAAATCAAGGAAACCTGATGGCGTTTATAGTTTATTTTATTTTTATTTTTAAAAAAACTCCTTAATTTTAATATTAAAAATTAAACTTTAAATCAAATTTTTATTTTAAAAAGGCTTTAAATGATAATTTCAATAAGCTTAAATAAAAGCACTCAGACTCTAGGATGGCCATTTTAGGTAATTATCAGAGTAACTTCAAGATTTAATCTGGACAAAATAAGGCTGAAAATAACAGAACTAAGCTTAAAGGTTTTGTTTCAAGACTATGGATGGGTCAACCTACTGAACAATCCAGAGATGATTTCAAGGATGTACAGGAAGTGGAAGTCTTAAGCTACAAAAACTTAGGGAAGAAATTCTACGGAGAAGCATTTTTCGGAATGTCTTAATTTAAAATCTCAAAAACCCAATTAGAGGGGCAATCGAGAAGGGAGCTGACCCACTGCTCGTATACATCATGGCCCTCAGGTTAGGTTAACACAGCTCTACAGTGGGACCCTACCATATCTAGGAGCAACATCGTTAGCCTTGTTGCGCAGGTTGTCTCCCCTTCTTACCTCAGGGGATGGTGTTTGCTGGCCTTCATCAACTTTGTCACCAAGGAGAAGACAGATCCAATGAGGCCTATAAACATGTATGCCCAGTCACTTGTAGAGACCTACAAGGAGAGCAAATCTGTCCTTGGTGCTATATATCTTGCCCCGTTCCGCCACCCAAACATGTATAGCTTCACAGCCAACCTGTCAATTCCTGCTTACAAGGGGGTTGATGACCCAACATCCAGCCTGAGGAACATGGTCAAATGTGGAGATTTCTGCAAAGAAATGGTGAATGCAGCAGAAGTCGACTCTAATACTTATGTTTCGACTGCCATATGGGAGATTGTGAAGTCTTGTACATGGGACCCTGCGGTACTCGAATCTCTCGGGTCGATGAGACCGTTTGCAAGTCAGATGAAACTTTTGGTCAAACTGATGGAATGTGAGTCTTGCCGGAAGCTGCTGAGCCCATCACAACCAGCAAGGTGCAGACGACATGCCAGGATACACAGCCAGAGCGCAGTCTCTGTCACACTGTCTAGGTGTGCGGCCAAGTACCCAGAACAGAGCATCAAGAGAATAATCTCTATAGCACAAACAAAGCCTCCATGTGAACTAACTAGATTTGTCTTGGAGAACTATTTCGGGTTTGTGGGGGTGAGCATGGTCAACTTTGCTCTCCCAGATCCAGTAGAGGTGGTTGTCCGCCCCAGGGATACCTCACACATTCTTGTTGGGCCAAGTATGAACCCCCAATATCAGCTGGCAGGGATGAGACAGATAGATCTACAGGTAGGGCCTGGAGCAGTCCAGGGTTTTAGTATGACGATGTGCACACTGGTAGGGCCAGGAAGGGACGAGATGTAACCATGGTATGGAAAGGGATTTTGGTTTCAAAAATCCCACGTGTTGAAGTCTGCCTCTGGAATCAAGGACCATCCACATGGCGAGAGCTGTTACTATATGCCTCAACAGCAGGGATCTTCCGGGTGAGAGGCTGTGGGAAGCTGAACTAGCTATGAATGGGATGATGCCTAGTGAGGACACTTAGATATGTATGGTAAAGATAAGCCCTAGTGTATCTACAAAACAGATGACTAGGGCTGGGCGCGTTAACGGTGGAACGATCGTTCTTTCCCGAGAACAAACGGAACGATCAAGAACGATCCCATCGTTCCGAAAAAAAAACGAACGCTTAGAACGCGTTCTTAAAAATATTGGAACGATTAGTAAAAGAACG